TAGCTGCACTGAGGTGACCATGACAGAGGAGCGGCGGTTGGCGAGTGACATACGCGTTTGACGTGCTTGTGTGGCACATTGCGCTTGGGGGGAGGTGTAGTGTAGCATCTTCTGAGGGGTGTTCAACAGCGCGAACGCTCGCAGCACGAACGCAGCGCGACTTGAACGACACACGAGCGCTCGCTTTATTCAAGAGGGCGGTTTCCTCATCAGATTCAATTGCGAGATTTTAATGTCTTCGAACAAATACTAGTCTGGTTGCTTATGCATTCCCGTGGGAATTTAATGATTAAAGCAAGAGACCTATGTTAATATCTTTATAATATAGTATAGAACAAGAAAAATAAAGGTGGCAATCTGGGATATTGCGCAAACATTATTTTATCAGCGATTTTATGAAACTCGCCGATCGCAAAATTAACTATTTTCCCAAAAATACAATTTTTTAAATAAAAAGACGATTTAAGCAGTTACAAACTTAATTTTGGTGTCAAAATGCAAGGAATGGAAGGATCCACTAAAATAGTAACAATTTATGACCATAATGATGACGTTTTAGACATGGACCGGCAAAAACTATGAAAATGCGCTCAACGAATACTTCGGTTTCATCGTCGATATTGAACATAAATGGCAATAACTTCACAAATGTACAACCCAGTGATCATTTTTATATACCAAAATCAACCTCTATTATTCCCCTGATTAAAAATATTAAAAACATTGGCAAAATGTTTGTAAAACATTTAATAATAATTACTAACATAACCCACCCCCCTAGTGAAAGTTAATTTACACCAAAATCGTCATGTGAGTTTTTCTTATATTGAATGAAATTCATACCATAAATATGTCTATAGAGTCCTTTCAAAGTCTTATATGTCAAACTGGGAACCCCTGCATAACTCGTCTGGAGCAAATTTAAGATGGCTGCCTATTTTACCATTCATAATATACACATCGCCGATTAAGATTCATACCTTGTTAAATTACAGTTTCGCAAATAGCATGCAAATTGCAAAGAGTCATAACAAGTATTCACAATCATAGCTTGTCACTTTATTAACAATTGCCAACTACAAGTATATTTTGTACAATACACAAGCTGCGAAGAGGCATTCTTTACTCATCGTCATCGCTCGATGGTTCATCATCATCATCCTGGCCAACATCGTCATCTGGCATGTTGTCGCACCCATCTCCCTCTGAGCAGCTACAAAGTTCCGTGCATCGTAGCCCAGCCTTCCTGCACTTGCAGCGGTTTGATGAACACTTCGTTTTGGCACAGGAGCACCTGTAAGTCACATATAATTGTGTCAAGTCAATGGCGTCAATAGCCATGATTATACAATGCTAATTTATTATGTCAGCACAACCATACCTATATGTATATATATTCTACATTTAAACATATATATATATTGGCCAATGCTATTACCTGACGAGATGAATCACTGCTTCTGGGGCAGGCGGCAGCGTTGTCATGACAGGCCTGTACTGTCCTTCCACCAAATACCAGCCATAGTCATCAGGTAAAGTTTTCTGCTATGGCACTTGACCAGTTCCATGAGCAAAACAATGCAATGGTGAAAGGTTCTGGTGGGGCTATAGGACTGACAGGCAATCCAGGAGCACTCAGACGCTGGATGGTAGCAAGGCCAAAAATTGCCAGGATTACTACAGGAGTTTGAGGAACAGCCCATAAAGCAACAGGGTGAGGCTGTTGACACTGGACACTCTCACCATGACCAGCAACCTGGAGTGCAAGCAGCATTCCTGAAGGAGGTTAAGGCACTTGTGACAGTGCTGAAAGAGATGGGGAATCCATTTCTAGAACACAGCCAAGACCTACTAGTCATTGACACAAGGGACATCATGGACACCCAAGTGGCTGAAACTGTGAGAAAGATTGAGACCCTTGGTGAGAAGCAGTACACTAAGTTTGTGACAAAAAGGTTAGAACAGTGTACCACACCTGTCACACAGACACTTCCAAAGAACAAGTTGCCACTTTTCAGTAGGCCACCGGTCAAGATTAAGTCAAAACAGAAAGCACAGCTCGCAGCACTGAAGAGTGACTGTGGTCTCTTTTCGAGGCTGTACATCTCCTGTCAAACTCGAGATGGAGACATCAACAATTTCTTCTCCCATGAAAACCAGGCAGCCCCGCCAGCTCTGTCAACTGGAGGAAAAATGCGGTTTGGGGTTAAAGCAGATCTACTTCGCTGCCTGGAATCAGATCTGCTCAAAAACAATAGTGTGCCTGTGGCTGATGCAACAATTTTCGATAGTGCAGCAGTGGTTCAAATGCTAAATCCTGGGACATCAAGAACATTTAAAGAGTATGCAGAAAGGGTGTTTGCACCATACATCTCTGCTGAACTCGAGAAATGCAGCTGCATCGACCTTGTCTGGGATGTATACCTACCTGCCAGCCTGAAAGCCTCACTCGGACAGAATAGAGGAAAGGGCATCAGGAAAAGGGTGTCTCCTTCTACTGTGATGCCAAAGAACTGAAAGGACTTCCTTCGAGTCAATGAAAGCAAACCCTAATTATTTGCTTTCCTGTCACGCGAGGCTGTTCACATTCCTCTAGCAGAAGGCAAGGAACTGTATGCAACAGTTGAAAGTGGGGTCCTGTGCTCTCCTGTCGAGTCATCCTTGGGCCGCCTTGCCCCATGTTCACAAGAGGAGGCTGCCACTTGTCTACTTCTGCATGTAAAAATGCAGTGCAAAAGGGTGACCATACGTGCCATTGATACTGATGTGGTGGTACTGGCTGTGGCTTCATTCTGCAAGATAGCTCCTGATGAGCTGTTGGTGGCCTTTGGTGTTGGCTCAAGCGTTCGGTACATAGCTGTTTACGAAATGCTTGCCACAATGAATCCAACACAGTGTCTCACTCTCCCAGTCTTTCACGCTTTCACCGGATGTGACACTGTATCTGCATTCGCTGGCAGAGGAAAGAAGACTGCCTGGGAAACTTGAGTCTTTTCCAGAGGTGAATGATGCTTTCAGTGAACTCCTATGCATGCCGAGTGAGGTCAGTGAAGGATCAATGTTATTGCTAGAGCGTTTTGTGGTGCTGCTGTATGACCGAACCAGTGAGAGCACGGAAGTGAATGATGCCAGGAAACAGCTCTTCACACAGAAGTCTAGAACTCTAGAGAACATTCCTCCAACCCAGGCAGCACTGAAGCAGCACATCAAGCGCTCTTGCTACCAGGCCAACTGTTGGAACCAGGCATTGGTCATGGATCCAGAGATTCCAGAACCATCTGACTGGGGCTGGACAAAGGAAACAACTGGGTGGCAGCCTCTTTGGACCACTCTCCCTAATGCAAAATCGTGCCATGAATTGATCCACTGTCGCTGCGAGAAAGCGTGCACTGGACGCTGCAAGTGTGCCAAAGCTGCTCTGTGCTGTTCTGTGTGCTGCTTGTGTGTGACTGTGCTGTGTGTTCTGTTCTGTTTTGAACATTACCAATAGGATATTTGAAAATAGGATATTCGACTTTTTGAACGTAATTCGACCTTGACCTTGGCCTAAATGCATGTCCTTGAGTTCTAGCGATCTCAAAGATATCACCAAATGAATGGTCATCCCCAATTTAGTTGGAATCAACACCTTAAATATTTTTCTACGCTGTTTGGTTCCAAAATTAAGCGCGTTTGAACACCAAGACCCGGTGGACTGGTGGCCATCTTGGATTTGACCTCTCACGGTCCTCAGAGCTCAAATCTGACTTCCGTCCACATCTTAAAATAAACATCATGGTATATACTAACTATGCTAGAAATTTCATGCTTTTCTCATAAAATGCACAATTGTTGTGGTTATCTGCTGCACTAATATGGAGAATGTTCTTAGAATATTTTTGGCTAATGTAACCAAACTAGAACCTCCAGCGAATGTTACGAGAATGTTCCGTGTTTGCTGGGTATACTTCTGTAGTCGAAATTTCAGTCGCTGGATTCTCAGCTGACAATCAGCAAGTGATTTTGCGAAGATAAACACAAGCGGTTTATGGTCGGTCTCTGCGATAATACTCTGTCCATAAATATACTGGTGGAAACGCTCACACCCGAATACAATACTGGGAGTCTCCTTTTCGGTCTCCGTCATGGCTCTCGAAGCATATGCCACAGGACACCATTCACCATCATAAAGCTGTAGCGATACAGCCCCTAAACCTGACTGTGAAGCATCTGTTGACATCTTGATCTGTCTCTTTGGGTCATAAAACTTCAGCACTGGTTCACTAGATAGCAAGTCTTTGAGTCGCGTCCAGGCTTTCTCATGTTCGTGCTGCCATTCCCACTGTGTTTTGTAATGTAAGAGTGATCTGAGCGGTGCTGTCTCCGTAGACAGATCAGGCACAAACTTTGCTAGATATGTCACCATTCCTAAGAATCTCTGCAATTTCTTCTTGTTGGTTGGTCTATCATTGCATGGATTGCTTTGATCTTGGTGCTGTCAGGCTTGACTCCCTTGTCACTGATAACATCTCCAATGAACGTCAGTTCAGAAACACTGATAACGCACTTGTCTGCATTCATCCTCAAGTTCTCTTCCCTGGCTCTGTCTAAGACACGCTTTAGACTGGCATCATGTTCTTCCTGAGATGCTCCCTGGGTAATAATAACATCCATACTGGTATCAACACCTGGTATGTCACTGAACATGTTGTAGATAGTCCTATGGTAGACTTCTGGGGCAGAGGATATTCCAAATGGTAGACGGAGATAGCGATATCTCCCAAATGGTGTGATAAATGTGCATACCTTGGATGAATCCTCATCTAGTCGCAGCTGCCAAAACCCGCTGGATGCGTCCAACTTCGTGAATACTTTGGCTCCAGCAAACTTTGACATAATTTCTTCTCTGGTCGGAAGTTTAAAATGCTCTTGCCGTATGGCTTTGTTGAGGTTCTTGGGATCTAGACAAAAACACGACCAGTGAGCTGACCCACTCTGTCGGCTCGTCAATCTTTGTAATCACGTCAAGAGATTCCATTCTGTCAAGTTCTTCTTATAGTTTATCATGCAGTCCAAATGGTACCTTTCTGCAAGGTTCCACAACAGGTGTCACCGCATCGTCAAGACGAATCTTGCGTATTCCGGGCAAACAACCTAGCCCTTTGAATATATCTGTATATTCTGTGCGTACACTGTCACAGAAACCTGAAGTCTTTCTCTTGTGTGATTCTGTGTTCACTGATTGCCTCTGTTCAGAATCTGTATTTGTGTCTTCCTGATTCTCTGCATCCACTTGCTAAACACGCCGGACTAATCTCAATTTCTCACATTCTTGAAGTCCTAGAATTGGATGAACAGGCTCTTGCGTCACGATAAACACTGCTTCGTTTACCTTCCCCTTGTGTTCAATGTTTATGATACATTGTCCCTTGACTGGCACATCATGACCAGCATAAGCTGTCAATTTCACTTTGCTTGTGTGCAACTTGGGTTTACGTCTTATGGAGCAAAATTCATGTTCACTAATGATATTGGCATTAGCACCAGTGTCGAACTTCATAGGTAATACAGTACCACTAACGTCTAATGGAACTATCCAACTCTGTGATGTGTTAGCTGTGTTCACAGTATCAACAAAGAACTCGTCAGACTGTTTATTGTCAATGTCATACTCAGTCTACACTGCATGAACCTTCTGTCCTTGCTTGTGTTTGTCTGAGTTTGGGCAACATTTGATAAAATGTCCAATTTTCCCACGCCTAATACATTGTTTACCATGAGCTGGATAATCATTTGGTCGGTACCTGTACCCACAAAACTTGCAACTATCCTTCTTCACTTCTTGGTTGCGAGAGTTATGTCTCTTTGACTCGTCACTAGATTTCAGCTGTCACTTGTATACAGCATCACACAATGTACAACTACCACTAGCACCCGCTGCTTCGCCACTCAACTGACCAACTTGTGAAAGGGTGGCATCTTCCGCCCTACAAATGTCTATGGCTTTCGCCAATGTTAACTTCTCCTCACGCAGAAGGCGTTTTCTCAGTGTGTTACTTGGTATCCCACAAATAACCCCAAACCGTCTTGCAAAATCCCAAATTCACACGTCTTTGCTCGCGTGCGTAATTCCGTCACAAAATGGTCTATGGACTCACCTGGTTTTTGTACTGTTGTGAAAAACCGGTGTCTTTCGAACGTCACGTTCGTTCTTGGGATACAATAGTCCTTAAACTTCAAACGGATCTTGGCCAGATCATTTGCGTCACCTGCTTCGGCCCACGTGAAACCATTATAAACTTCCAGGGCTGGTTCCCCAATGACGTGCAGGAAGATAGCGGTTTGTATCGCATCATCCTTCTTGGCCCCACCACTCGCCGCCATATACACATGAAATCTTTGCGTGAATCTTGTCCAGTTATCGCTGAGATTTCTCCCGGACAAATCCAATGGCTGCGGAGGTTTTAGTGACTGCATCTTGTCGTCAGAGCAAACACGAACACTTCTGACACCATGTAATGTTATTTGTGTCCGTGACAATCACTAACAAT